ACTTTAATATGCTCCTGGATGTTGTTTTTCCAATCTAAAGTCTATATTTTACTTTTTCATTGAATGGACCAAACAAAGTCCAGAGTTAAATCTTCACCAGGCTGTAACAGTTACTCTTAATCTGATCATTTTAATTCATTGTTTAACTTTCCCTAGGACCAACTAAATGCAGTTTCTGGCTTGCTTTCTTTTCTTTTTTTTTCAGCCAGAATTTTTTTTTTTTTTTTTTTACAAAAGTGTGATTGTTTATTTTCTGGAAATGCTTAGACATGGTCAGACACATGCCAGTCAATGGGAAAGGTGTGCCCTGGTCTCTTCTGGGAGGGTCAAGGCTGATGGGAACAAATTCAAGCCCAGGCCTGCTTTACTGCCTGCCATGCCTTGCACCTTGCATGATGTGCCTGTCAAGCATAGTGAGCATACAGATCTTACCAGAACTTCTGGGGAGCACCCAGAGAGACCTGGAGCTTGTTGCAGTAGAAAGCCAAAAGAGCTAGTGTGAATACAAAGATGTCAGCAGACCAATGGGAATAGTGGTTTTTGCATTTAGAATTTTTAAGTACCATATATTAACATCTTTGAATAGATTTTGAATTTATTATTCTAATGGATTTCCAAAAAGTTTGGTCTTGGAAATCATTCAGTTATCCTACCCATCAGATTTATTCACCTGATTCTTTGAAGGGAAAAAAAGGACTTTATCTCTGTAAGTCTTGCTCACAGTAAAGTCTATTTTGGCTTAACCTCTCAGATTTTCAGATAATTTAGGTGTCACAGATATCTAAGATAAGATAGTTTTCAGACACTATAATTTAAACGTCTCTGAAGTGTAATAAATAGAGCTTCGTCTGGGTTTTGGAAATAATGTTTTCTTCTCAAACAGCTGTTCATTTGTATTAACAATTTTCTCTGTCTCTAGAAGACAGGCAGCATTTCTTTTTTATATATAATTCCATCCCACTTTTTATTCTGTTAGCTGTATTCAGTCTGTTGTTGTGGTATTAATGTTTAATATCCCTGTGCACCATGCATAGACACCTAGCCTGACTTTAGGCACTTCTAAGAAGAATTGTTTGGCCCTGGCCCATGAGGCCAGACCAATTCTTGCTATCTCCCTGGGGCTGGCAAATTTCACAGCCTTTTCAGTTCATCAGAGACCACTTTGGTAAAGCAATGTAAATTACAAATGCAGTATGAACAAGTCTTTACCATGTCTTTAACTGACCAAGCTGAAGATCCTTGGTTTTTTATTTAGGGGGCTCCAATTAGCACCCAAATGATGGCAATTCATGAGGCTATGATGAAGTTGGTGACGACTGACATTTGGTACATATCAATATTAGGTATTTATGATTTCTTATAAACCTTGTAAGAGATAGGAGAAGTATTTATCAAAATTCTATTTTACTTTGAAGACAGTCAGGCTCAGAGAGGCTAAATGTCACAATTTTCCATGACTAATAGGCCGAGCATTTTACTATTTAATGCCTCCAAGATTTATTATAAGGAAGAGCAGTTAACAGTGTAGGGTCTGAGACCAGACAGCTTGAACTCAAATCCTGGATTTACCACTTTTGTGTTGTGCCACTTGGGGCAACTACTCAATGAAGGCCTGAACTTTCTCATCTGTAAAATGATAACAATTGTGTTCCTCCCAAGAATGAGTCATTACACAGAAGAGTGTTCACAACAGTATCTGGTATATGGTAAATTCTCAACAAATATTAACTCTCTGAGTTACTCAACTGCTCAGCACAGGAAACAGTGTATAACAAGACATCAGGGTTTGTATTATGTTCCAGGAGTTAAATGTGTAATGTTAATTCAGGTCCTCTTCAGAGTGGACAAGCTAGATAAGGAAAGTCTGATGGAGAAATCCATTCTACCCATACCATTAGCAAAATTAGAATGAAACAGTTCTTTAGAAGTCCTGAAAAATCTCAGCCTGTGAAATTAATGAAAGACAAATAATTTAAACTGCCTGCCTCTGGGAAACAGAGTGTGAGTCTCAGTGTGACAGACAATTAATATGTAGGCTTCCAATCTTGATAACATGTTCCATAATACACTCTAGAAAACTTAAGGATTTATATCCTTACAGTTCAAAAACTATGTGGTACCTTGTACTTAAACAGCAGTAAAGTTCAAGTAACATATCTCCATTCACAATCTTTTGTGCTCAGATGCTCCTGGAAGCTGCTGTTGGTGGTCTGATAATGGGATTAAAGAATTATGAATTTGGAAGCATTGGAAAGATAGCAAAGGTTTTCATTTGTTTGTTTGTTTGAAATCCTATTTCATTTTGACTGAATTGAAGGCAGCAGTGAAATCAGGAGCCTGGAAGCTGTGGTCCAAAGGAGACAATCAGTGAGAGGGGCTCAGTTGACAGAAATCAGTTTAGCCCAAATCAGCTAAAAGAGATGCAGGGAGGGAGAGGACAGAGTGACAGAGAAAAACCTACCAGAGATTTCAGTATCCTTGTTTCTCTCCAACAGAAACAAAAGAAGACTTCAAGATAGAAACTCAGTAGTTTTATTTGGAGAGAGCTGTCTGGTTAAGCACATATGTGCACCATAAATCCAGATTTCAGTTACACCCGCTCACATTTCTTCATGTCAGCATCTGATCAGCAACTTCCAAATGTTCTAGCATCCCTTGCAAATAATTTTGATTTGGAAGCCTTCTATTGATAGTTAACTTTTATTAAGAGATTATTCTCTCGATAAGAAATTTCTGACAATTTAAGCAATATTAAATCAGATTCCAAACATATAATGACAGCTTTGTTGGTGTGTGTTTATGTGTGTGATGCATTTAAATGCATATGTCATGTCCTTCTATCTTAAAAAGAACACCACATTAATTTTTTAACTAGCACCCAGCATTCGGCCTATAGATGAATACGTACAAACATACATATGATGCTTGATCCAGAAACTTACTAGAATTTGGTAGCATGCATGGAAATTGTTAGGGACAAGGATTTTTGTACTAGGAAACTTCCTTGTCAAATACACAGTAGCTTTAGGTAAGTTCAATCCAAGGACAATGTGATATAGCCAAAATGGCACAGGATTTTTAAAGAGAAGTTCTCCTGTTCTTTCTGTATTCACTAATTTATAGCTACTGTTAAGAGTCATGGCTTTAGGAGACAGACCTAGGATTGTGTTTCAGTTTTGCCACTGGCCATGTTTGTGAACTTATGCAAGGTATTAGTAACATATCTCAACCGCAGTTTCCTCATCCATAATATGAGGAGCGTAATAATATCAATATCTTCTTCAAAGCGTTGATGTAAAGATTTAAAATGGCTGGGTTAGAAAGGGCTCAATACTCTTATTTATTGCTTTGGTTATTTTTGTTTTTAATCTAAATTACCTCATTCATTAGATAGAACAAACACATCCTACATTGCAGAGTTGTTTTCAGAATTGAAATAGATGATGTACGTGAGAGTAACATCATATGGAAGCACTATTTAAAAAGTAATGATGATGATTATCTGTTGAATATCTACTAAGTGCAAGTCATTGAATATGCTATTGCTAATTCTTATAACAATCCTGTATGGTAGGCAGTGTTATTTTATATTGCAGATGAAGGAACAGACTTGTAAGAATTTTTCTAGGATCATGCTCAGATTTCAAACAGATCTGTTTTATTTTAAATTCAAACTTGTCATTCTGCATAGCCATATCTCAATGATAATAATCTTGGGAATTGTTAATAGTTTGTTGTTCTTATTGATGATAGAATTTGGTGCTTAATATATATTCTGTGCTGATGCTTGAGAAGTATGGCATCCACTGCATGTATTTATGTTAAAATATATAATTTTGATGAAATCTACTTAATACATACTATTCACAAACTTGAATATGTATCTACCCACAAAAGGCAGATATTTGCAGTGCTAAGCCCTAGGCTGTTAAGGCAGCTCCAAAAAAAGAACATGTCAGCAACGTTCTAGGCAGTGGCAGTGCATTTGAAATGCATATGCTATCCTCAAGGTGAATAGTTTGAAGGGCATATTTTTTGTATGAATAAATTCCAATTTTGGTTATAATGTTTGATGCTTTTTAAGTCATTTCTCATGTTTTTACATTTCAGTTACATGAATTTTTATTCATATCATAGATTATAAGTAAACGGAATTTACAATTTGATTCCCCTGCCTTCATACTTATAGCTAGCTTATTACTCACCAGCTAATGAGTGATCTTCTCAGATTGGCATACTGGCTCCTGGGCATAGCTGTAAGGTGAAATATCTGTGTGCAAGTGTTCCTGCTACCTAGAAGTTAGCATACTATAAACATGGGCTTTTGAGTCTGATTCCTCAGTGGCTGCATAGTTTCGCTAAAGTTGTTTTTAACCTTCTAAGCCTCAGTCTACTCATCTGTTAAATTGGAATAATAATACCTATCTCAGAGTTTCTGGGCATAAGAGAAATTGCAGATAACGTGCACAACACTCACAAATATGCAACTTCCCTATTCACCTTTTCTTAAAAAAAAAAAAAAAAGGTCTACATATGCAACAGTGAACTATTTGCATTTTGACTATATCATATTTCCATAGGCTTGAAAAACCATATCTGGTTAACCAAGATCCAAACAGATCTACAAGGAGATCATACACTTCGCTTTTCACCTGTGACAGAGATGGTAGCATCAGTGGGCCTTACTACACAGTGACATCCACCCAGAGGCAGATGCGGTGTTCCAGGCACCCTGATGTGGCTGAGGCAATAATAAGCCCATTTACTCCCACTTCAGATTTTGGACCCTGAAGCCTGGCCTTCAATACTCACATGTGTCTACCAGGTTTAACTTTTAGTTCGGAAGAAACCCATAATTTTCACCTGTGTCTTTTTGACCCCAGGCCTGATAGAATATTTTACTAAGGCTCTCCCACCCCCAACTGTTCAAAGTTACAAACGGCCAGATTTCAGTCATCAGAAGAATAGAATGTATTTTTTTTTTTTTTTTTTTTTTGCAGCCTGTCTCACGGGGGCCAGATTCCAAGGAGACAGCCCATGCACTCACAGGCCAGGAGAGCCAGGATTTCAACAGTGTCAACAATCTTTGCTCATCATACCAAAAAAGCCCTGTGTCGGTGCCGACTCATTAGCATACAGCCGTGCTGTGCTTGCTAACAAAGCAGGCTCAGTATCTGCTAGTTTCTCAGCTTGTCTGTCTTCCTTGACCGAAAAAGAAGAGAAAAGCTGAGGCTAGGATGCTGTCCCCCTCCAGCAGAAGAAACTATCACAAGGATTCCCAGAGAGAGTGCTTTGAAATGGTTTTAGGTTAGCATTCTTTCAGAAAAATGTGACCATCTATCCTTTGTTTTTTTAATCTTGTTTTAAATCAACAGGCAAAACAAAAAATCGACATGTTGTCTATTTAAAAATGATTGAGCCTTGAATAATTCCTGGTCATTCCTTTAATAGTTTTGTTTTTTAGAGTGCTTAAAAAGAACTGTCCGTCTAGGCAGGGGTAGACTAGCATGCCCTCTCTCAGGCTGTCTCTCTAACCCTCTTTTGTTGGGGGATGGAGGGAAGAAGAAACGTACAAGCAGATGTGCTGCTAGATCTACAGGCTTCTGCCAACCATATGGCATCTTAAAGAAAGATGGTTGGAGCGTCTGGATTAGCAAAGAGTCGGGATGGGAAGCCATGTGTCGTGTTGGTACAGGCAGTTGTTTGAGCTCTCTCTAAATGGCTTCAGGAGATTGTGTAATGGAACAAATGGTCCTGCGAGCCCAGGAACAGCCTTGCCGCTGCTGGAGAGGCAATTGGCCCTCAGGCGGGTACTGCTTCCCTTTTTTCCCCAGTATTATGTATTCTTCTTTTAACATTCTTCAAACTCTATGAATTGACTAGAACTTTTCAACTTATAATTACACACATTCTCCCAGCCTCTAGGTCTGCCTGAATTCTCCTCTCTCACCCTAATTTGGTAATTAATAATGCTGCCATCATCCTGGTGTTCTCTCCCCTTGGTCCGCCACAGTGGGGTACATAGATATGATGCATCAATTTTCAGTCCCTCTTGACAATTACCTTCTTCGGGAGTTTATCTGGCTATCAGGGTGTGGAAAGATGTATCTTCTTCCCACCACAATTCTCAGAAACCCTAGGAAATGGAAAATCTGAGGGTTTTATGTGGTCTCAGGTGCTGAGCATATGAAAGATGTGTTCCCTTGCAGTTTTGGTCCTTGTGTGGCATTTAAAATACATGAAATTAATTCCATATTAGTGAACTCATTGAACTATTAGATCCCACTTCTCATTTATTCAGCAGTTTGAAACCTTGGGGATCTACTCTCTAATCCAAAACTTAAATAGAGCTTTAAGAAGTGAGACACTTTGATACTGGCAACACATAGCAGTATTTCAACTATGTTCAAGTTCTCAGGTCATTGTTTCCTCTGGGAACTCAGAGGCAGGAGAAGCCCAAGACCCTCTAGCTAGAGAAAATCTGGTGCATGTGTTCTGATGGGTTCTTAGCCAAGATCTTTGGACATTTCAGGGCATACAGAATTATTTGTTGTAGTTTCAGGGTTACTGCACTTGAAGTGCCCTGGCTTGAGCTACTAGAAAAGTTAAGTCCACTTCCTCACTGGGAATGGATAACTAAACTCTGAGGCTGCAGGTGTATCATGAATCATGGTTGATGGAAGGTAAAATGGGTAGTTTATTAATCAAAGAAACAATATATCTGGCCAAATCATCAAACAAGTTTGCATTAAGTGAACTACATGGGTCATTCCCTGGTTTATGCTGCACACTAGGGAGCAGAATGCACTGAATCTTGACACCTCCTGTTATTTCTGAGTCACCACCTCCTTTTTCACACGTAGTGATCCTAACTGAACAGGTGCCTCAAAATGAAATCAAGTAGGAAGTAAAGTATTCAGGTTAAAAACGAATAACCTGTGATCCACTGTTGGAAATAGGAAGAAATGGTGTCTATTACAACTTCTCTCAATGCAACTTGGAGCAATGAAAATAATTCTTACATATTTGCTATGTAACAATGCTGCAAAGCCCTCCTCTAAATAAATAAATAAATAAACAAATAAATAAATAAAACAAAAGAAAGAAAGAAAAAAAGGAAAAGAAACCTAAGGAATGTGTGACTGGGCTCCAGTAGGAGAAAAGGGCACAGTCTAGAAATCTGAAGGTGTCTTCAGAGTGTCATGATTTTTATGTACTTGTGGCTCAGCCAAACAAATTCTACTCTCTTAAATAAGGTCACCTTAAAATCATTTGCAGACTCTTACCAACTTCTCAGGTCATTGTTATTTGTGAAGGATAAAATGTCATTTAGAAATTTCAGATAGTATACTATTTCACTTTTATGAATACTTTGTATTTAAAATTCTATTCTTACATACACAGGTTTAAAACACTTTTTTTGTTCAGAGCTCATTGCATGCTGAACACATTAGGTGTTAAGGATATTCATACTTTGTCTTCTGAGTTTAGGATCTGTGAGGGGGTCCATGAAAGCATAATTTTTATTGTTACTTACCAACTTGAAGAGATTTGCCACTTTAATCCCTTTTACCTTCCAAATGTACATGGTCCCAAATTTGTCAGCCTGGAGTTTCTTGAAACAATGCAATTAAACTGCAACATATTTCCTAACATTCTTAATTAAGACAGTGACTGAAAAATGTAGATTAACAGAAGTTACTGTTTTTATCAACATATTTTCTCTCTTTCCCACCACCCTCACATCTCCCTCCCCCCCACTCCTTTTTGCTTTAAATGTCTGATGTCAGTTTGGTCCACATGTACATTATGCACATGGCACTGAAGAAACAAAGTAAAAAATTCTCTTTTAATTCTGAGCTGCATGCCCAGCGCCACATGCACTGTCTGTTACATGTCGCTTCTTATGAGGTTCATGCTGGGAGTTTCTTTTTAAAGGCAAAGTGTTTCTGAAGGAAAGAGTTCAGGTTGGGCAGATTGTGTTAGAGAAATCTCACTGTCTCTGAGTGGAATTAATATACTGATTATTCTGTGCAGGCTCGAACTGGCAGCGTGTACAAAAGTTCAAGTGTCTGGGAATTGAAATATGGAGGAGAATTCGGGAGAATGAGCAGAGACAAAGAATTGGAAGTAGGACTTAGAAGTGAAAATAATGGTAACTTTGTAAAGAGGGGGAGCAAAATCAAGAATGAACAATTGTGTCATAAAGCAGTACTCACTGAAATATTTTTATGGTATCAGAAGTCCTGTTTTCCATGGCACATAAGATTGATCTTAAAAAATCAGTGTAGTTATTGGATGGGAAGTGGGAAGGGGGGCATACACAGCACCTTTTTATTTTCACTTCTTTGAGTTCTTATGATACTTGCCAATTTCAATTAAGTCACTTGAGAAGCTTAATCACCACATAGAAATTAAAACGGGTTGTAATATTTCTTTGGCCTATTAGCCAAGATTTTTTTCCCTGTTTAATTAAAATGTGGGTCTTGTATGATTATCAACAAACAATGATTCATTTATTTGTTTACAAGTAAGGAATTAAAAAGTAAGAAAAACAAATAAAATCATGCAGCACCTCTCTTGTCACAGAGAAATCAACCTTTTTTTCTCATTGCTTCTCAGGGGAAAGAAATTGGGGCGTGAGTACGGAGTTAATGAAGCTTTCACCCATCTCCTTTCCTCAAACTGCCATCTCGCTTTAATCCTCTCCTTCTGCCAGAGTCCAGAGTCTCGGGAGCCAGAAGCTCAGCACCCAGCCTGCCCGCGCCCCAGCCCGCTACTCGCTACTCTCCAGGTGCAGAGCTCGGCTTCGGCCCCTCCCGTGGGCCAGGAATGCTTGGCCGAGCAGCACGCTGAGATCCAGAGGCGGAGCTGGCTGGGGTCGGATGGGCGGGAGACCTGGAGGATGCTCGGCCCAGAGATGGAGCCCTAGGCCACCCTGCAGCCCAGGCAGAGGGGCGCCTCCTGCTCCCCTGCTGGAGAGCGCTCTTCCGCAGCCCAAGAGCAGGTGCTGGCGTGCAGGAGGCACTCCTGGAGCCCAGTGGACTGTTCCATCTGCAGAAGCACAACTGCCCAGCATGGGGTGGCGTTCCCCTTGCTTGATGTTCCCTGGAGGCATGTGCTTTCTGTCTACTAGCAGAGTAGTTGGAGGCTGGTTCATCACCCGCTCCCAACTCCACCAAATTCTAAGACTGAAGCTTTTTATTGGCAGCATTTAGATGGTAGTGATGGTGGTGGTGGTGGGCGGGGGGATCTACCTTCTGTTTGGCAGTTGCTCTTTTGTGAAGCAGAAAATTATCTCTGGGGATGACTTAGTGCATAGGGTACTCCCCTTGCCTTGTGGATCAGGAATTGGGACACCATGAGAGTCCTGCCCATGTACCTCTGAAAATGGTGTCACCTAGTCTGAGCTTTCCGGGTAAGACTGCCCGCAACCATGAGTCCTAATGCCTATGTCCTGTAGCCCTCTGCTATTGTAATTTGCTTTCAGTCAGGGCCTTGCCCAACACAACCATCAAGTTCCTGGCAGATAGGGATTATCTACTGTATGGATTATTTAGCTAGTCTGGAGCTTTTACTTTTAAACTCCAGGCATTGTTGTCTTTAGGGGTTTCCTGGTCTACACAGCAGGAGTAGGGGCCATGACTGGGTGCAGTGAGCTGATCTGTGAGGGGCTGGAGTAAGGGGTGGCTGCTGTGTGCTGCAGTGTAGCACCCAAGGAAGGCACTTATTTCCCTTTATTTTCTGCCCCCTAAATTAAGATTTCAGGAAATCTTAATTTAGGAAAGAAGCATATTTGCTTTTAAGGAACACTGTAAGGCCTATTGCAGGAGAAAACCCCTGTTCTTCCTCTCAGGCCATCCAGCAGGATATTCCTGGCACCCTGCCAGTTGAATTCCAGGTCTCCCTACCACCTCAAGGACCGCACAGTCTGTGCACACACATGGCATCTGGTTGAGACATGTAAAAGTTGATTGATGACAAAGAGATGGTGCTAACGTGGCATATTCCACAGCATTCTTAACATTTTTCTTTGCCGCTTTCCTCAAGTCTTCTGTAGCTTCCTGGGCTACCTGTGCATTGTTAACTTGTGCCATGTTAAAAAAAAACAAAGAAAGAAAGATAGAGTAAGGAGTGTTGGAAGCCTAGGTGGACTCTCTTGCCACTCCTTAAAAATTTCAAAAATTTACAGCCTGATTATTAAAAAATTAGACTTAGCTAGTTCCTTCTTCCCCACTGTGGCACTTAAATTGGGCAGGATCTGACTCTTCGGCTGCTGGAGCCCACTAGAAACCAAATGAGCCCTCCAGCAGGCCTAATCACTCTGATCTGTCATGGACCTTCTAGCTGGAAGAGTTATGCCATCATATTATCCCAACACTCATCACTGTGTAGAGGACCCCCTTTTACTAAATGATTTATTACTCTTCGCAGAATTCCTTTGGCTGCAGATTTTATTTCTGAGTCACTCTGTTCAGCTCAATTGGTCGCCTTCAGTTACCGTGGCAACCAGCAGATGGGGTTCTTTGACAAGGGTCAGCAGGGAGGCTGCCTCAGTATAGAGGGAAGAGAAACTAAATAAAAAGCTTTCAGCATTGACAGTTCTGTAGTGGATGGCCAGGAGTTATTATCAAATTACTTGCATTAAAACCTAATTAAGATGTGTGCCAGTAAGTGCACCATAGTGACTGAATCTGGTTACTTAGCTGTTGAGGGCTCACTCTTACTCACTCACACCTCTGTGACCAATTTGGGTACCCTGAGGATGGTCAAATATGAAGGAAATTGAGGAGGACTCACTTGGTATACTCCAGGAGGGCTGTAGACTCTGGAAGCAACAGAACAACTTCATTAGAGTCAAATCTTCCTGAAAACAGAGTATTGAGCCCCTAAAACCTGAGATGGCAACTGAGCAGGACCTCCGTATGTCAGATAGTTCCATGTCTTCCTTTGAGCCTGTCCTTGCTTTAATTGCAAAAAGCATTCATCAAAATAAAGCTAGTTTTTTTGGGTTTTTTTTTTTGTTGTGTGTGTGGGGTTTTTTTTTGTTTTTTGTTTTTTTTTTTTAGTATTTTAGATTAAAGTGCAACTAAGTGCAAAAGATGTTTTCTGGAGTGGACAAGAGACAGTGTTAGGTCAGTTGACAAAATTGGAATTTAGTAGATTAAGTAAAGGTTTTATATCAATGTTAAATTTACAGCAGTTGATTATATACTTTGGTTCTCAAAGAGAATACCTTTGTTTTTAGGAAATAAACACTGCAGCATCTAGGAAGAAAGGGTAATGATGTGTGCAACTTACTGTAAGAATGTTGGAAAAAGGACTATATATACTGGGAAACAGGGAAATTCTGGATGTGGTCCCAGCACTTGGGAGGCTGAGTGAGGAAGATCACTTGAGGCCAGGAGTTCAAGATCAGCCTGGGCAACATAGTAAGATTGTCTTAAAAAAAAAAAAAAAAAAAAAAAAGGAGAGAGTAATGAATCAAATGGGGCAAGATTATTACAATAGATGAATTTGGATAAAAGGCATATGGGTATTCTTGATACTATTCTTACACCTTTTATAAGTTTTGCATTATTTATAAATAAACACTCATTTTTTAAAAGTAGAAGTGCTTAGGTCCAGGGTGAGGTAAGGCATGAAGTAAGAGGCAAGGTGGATTTTTCTGCTGGTGCTTTTGTATGATCTTGAGCCTTATGCAGGCTGGATTCTACTCTGCAAAAATTCTAATTTTTATTTTTCTGCCCTGTTTTCTTTGTACAATGGGACTATGCTCATTGTCATTCTGCTTTTGCTTAAAAAAAAAGTAATGCTTGAAACAAATGGTCTTCTGTTTTCTTCAAATTGAATAATAATAATTATTATTATAATTATTATATTTATTGTATATTATATTATAAATATTATAATTATAATAAAATTAGTAGTAGTAGTAGTAGTAGTAGTAGTAGTAGTAGTAGTAGTAGTAGTATTTTGGCAGTACTGGGAATCAAACCCAGGACTTCATGCTTGCTATGCAAGCACTGTCCCACTGAGCCATATCCTCAGCTCCAAAGTCCAAAATTCTTGACATGTTATCTCCTGTCCCTGTTGTTTCATGGTGTCAGGATCATGTATTCTCACCCAGTCCTCCCTAGGCATTATAAGCTCAGCCTGGGTCAGATGTCACTTAGACTTTAAGAAAGTGACAAGGGAGAAATGTAGCACATGTTTCTAACTGCCCTGATATCACCATCTATCCTAGTTGGCGACCTATGCTGGGTTCACAGATCTCACTATTCTAATAACTTAAGAAAATGGCGAAGAAAGAAAACAAACACACAGAAGTACCTTTTCAAAATCCAGGACGGCTCTCCGACCTTAGAGGTCCATGGAAAGAGAGAGCACCATTGGAATTCTTTATTCTTTATATAGGGGACACACAAGAGGAGGTTCCATGGAACATCCTCTCCCAAAAAGGGCAAAGCGGTAGGATTACGCCTCATTATCCGAGGGAAGGTAAAGTGAAAGTTATTGTGGGGCACAATAATTGTTCAGTATCTCTTGCTCGGAACTTAAGGGCGTGTATTTCCAGAGCAGCTCCCCACACCCTGAGGTCAAACTGTTCCTTGTTTCTGGTACAAACACAGTTTTAAGCAGCTGGTCTCTAAGAAAGCCCCAGTGACGACTGTCAGAGGCTTCAGGGACCTGCTGGAGACAGCGGTGATACAGCCAGAATTGCTGAACATCTCACCTTTCTCCACTTGCCCTCTCCACATCTCACTCTCCACTGCATGGTCAGTGTGGCTTCTGAGCCTCTGGCCTCCCATATTTGTATCTTTCATGTTAATGTGGACTCCATCAGTACTACCCAAAATATGCTCTCCAGGCCAAGACCTGTCCTCAAACTGTTATCACTCTGTGAAAAAATAAGAACCTAGATTTAGAAAGTTTAGCAACTTCTATAGCAATTAGAAAATGCTACCTTATTTTTATTATAGTTCACAAAGCCATCAAGCTACAACAGATTAGAAATTAAAAAGAATACAATACAAAACCCAAACTGGTTCTCTTCGGTGAACCTGTTGGAGAAAGTCTAAGGATTTCTTTCTCTTTTCTCATGCCCCCAAGCCTCAGAAAATGAGCCCAGATGAGCCAATTCCCTGAAAGTTGTCCAGTGTGTTTGTTACCTTCCTCAGGGTCCTTCTCTCAAATCCTTATGTCTTGTTATGGAATAGAAGACTTAGTGAGTTCTTTTACACTTTTGTTGGGGGCGGGGGGCGGGCAGTGGTTGTGCTGAGAATGGAACCTAGGTCCTCATATGTTCTAGGCAAGAGCTCTACTACTGAGTCACATCTCTAGCCCTAAAAATCCATTTCTGAAAGGCCTGGACTGATGATTGGAATTGGAGTTCCAGCCCTAGATTTCCTACAGATAGGCTGTTGTGCTAGTCACTTGTACTTTCTGGGCCTCAGTGTCATCATAGTGGGCTGAACTGAATGATCTCTAAGGTGCTTCTCAGCTCTAACATGACATGATTCATTTGGAGAGAAAAGCAGGGGTCTATCCCTGCTTCATTGCTCCCAAGCAGCCCCTGTAGGCAG